CCTCCACCCCCGCCTGGGGTGCGTGCAGTGGCGGGAGCCACTACCCCCTTCCCCCCCACCTCCCAGACAAGCTACTCAGGACCCCATCCCATGCCCCGCCCTGCCTGGCTGGGCAGTCCCTGCCCCACTCCCTCCCTCTCTGTGGGGGCCTTGATCTAACCCCCCACCTCTTCCCTCCCCCCACACCAGACTTACCAGTCAGACGCTGCCCGACTGCATATTGGAATCAGATCGCTATTGGCCAACATGGAACCCTAAAAAAAAAATTGGCCATTGGTCTCAACCCCAAAAATCTCAATTGGTGCACCCCTAGTTGCAGCACAACACAGTGAAACAACACTTGCAAGACTGAAGAAGAGCTTCTGCCACAAAGGTGGCAAAAGAAGGTGAACAGAGTATCCACTGACTTTGAACAGTCAGAGGTCATCTCAGCAACTGAAGCCATTGGGATGCTTTTTGGCTGAATGAAGTCTTAACAGAGCACTTCAGGGCTGTATCTTGAATTAGGTCTATATTTTTGCAAAAGGTAGGATTATCTTGTCAAAGATGGAGGGACCTGGTGCTTATCTGCTTCTGCATGTATGGGACTATCAAATTTGGAGAGCTCAGAATGAAATTCATGAACCAACACATTTATTAGAAGTAAAAAGTTACAGGTACCCAGCACTACAATTCAGTGAGACCAGACAGATCAGGCAAACATAAAACCAAATCACAAAAAAAAAAAACAACCCGCCAAAAAACACTGAACACGGCAAAACACCTGCCATTAATATTGTAAATGCAAGGAAAAGCAAACACATCGGTGAAGGAGGCAAAAGAAGTGCAACATGCATGTTAGTGCATCATCCAAGGGCTTGTGTGTACAAACTCAGCTCTCCTTGTTTTCTCTCTGTGGGTGCCAAGTGGTAGGTACATGGGAAGAAGGTGGTGCTGTTTTGCACCTAGGATGAGGTGAGGTGTCCGACTCCTTGTAAATGGGGTTTTCCATACCAGGAAATGGAGTAGATAGGTACAGGCCTCTAGCCACAATGCTGGTCTGTTTCCCACACCATCTCTACCTTCTCGTTTTGGAGATTCAATTTATTCTCAAATGTCTTCCCCCCCCCCTTTCCTAAACAAGTTTTCTTTCTATTTTTGGCCCACTCTCACTCAACATCATCCATGCTTCACTTATATCCCCACTGAAGTGCATTCCCTTGTTTCTGCCAGCCTGTCTGCTGCCATTGAACGTGTCCCTCTTAAGGGCCGAAGAGGCCGGGGGAGCTTGTTAGATTTACTGAAGTGGCACATAGGAAGAGAGAACTGGAATAATTTCTGCTGCAAAGTTCAAATAGACAAAGCAAGTGAAGAGTGAGTGGGAAGCTGCTGTAGAAGCATTCACAGTGGCTGCTGACACAGTGAGTCTTGTATGGCCCATAAAAGTTCAAGAGGATGTACGAGTCAGAGTAGGGAGGAGGGCATGTGGGAGAGCACACAAAGGGCTGCCAAGACCAGATAAAAAATGATCATTGCAGTCTCTTGGGGGGTTGGCTGGTATTTCACTAACAAATGACCAAGGCTCAGAGAAAGCAGCTGCTGCAGACAGGAGTCTCAAGCAAACCTCAAGCAAAAAATAAAGCAGTTCCCTCCTAGATCACTTTCTTGCTGCTGTCCCAGGTGCAAGGAAGCAAGACTCTCTGCAAACTGGCCAGACTGCCTGGCCACAGGTTGGAATCGAGCACTGTATCTCCCTCGGCACAGCACATGAGCAAAGTGTCTGGGGTCAGGCTCACCAGATCATGCAGTGTGCCTGCAAGCCATTTTCCAAACCCCCTGATGCGTTGACCTGGGTTCTAAGCTGCATCCTAGCCATGTTTTCTGAACAAATGTAGTGCTGCACAACTGAAACATGAGTAGGTGCTATACGGAGAGCTGAGATCTCTAAAGCTTTACTCTTGCCTGCCTGGCAGGTCTTCATTAGATAAGCTGGCACTTACCGCCCAGCATCCCTTT